CTCCGCGTCGCGCCTACACAGATATTCAAACATTCAGAATACGCCGAGGAAACCGCGGAGATGGAGGCCAAACCGATCACTGTCTCCACATCACTGTAGAGATCTTCAGTGAGTTCAAGGGTACGGACGTACGGCTCCTGAACCGGCTGGAGCTTCATGCCCGCCGTTCGGACACAGGGAGTGTTATCCGTTGTCAGAAGGTGCGCCATCCAACCTAGACAGTAGCTTGCGGGGGAAGGAAGAACAGACCTGGTTCAGTTTTCTTACCCTTGGTAGCAACTACGGCCTAAACTGCGATGGCAGTAATTGGTGGTGGCGGAACCCCTTCATTCAGGGGGAGGGTCGCACTTATAAATGGAAAACTCTCGCTCAGGCCCAGGGCGTAGCCCTTGATTTTCATCTGTGCTCTCGTGTGAAAAGCGGCCCTTCGTGAATAAGAGAAACCAAACGAGGGGTTGTACCCAGGGCACATCATTGGTTGGGGATTTTAGTCCACTCTATACGACCCCTCCCCTTTTTTGGGTGTTGGTACGACCCCCCCCCAGCCCTCTGTCCTCCTCATCAAATCGAGCCGCCACTCCCACAACGCCAAACGTAATACGACCCCCCCCCTCCCCAAAAATGCATCACCATAACGACCTCGGCCACCCTCCCTTTACAACGTCCATGAAGCGAGAAAAATCAACTATCAAAATAAATTTTTCTCAGCCCAAATACGACCCCCCTCCTGGCGACCAAATACGACCCCACCCTATTAGGGATTCCCCAACAACGATTGTGCCCTGGTTGTACCGGACAAGAAAGTTTGGGAGGGAGAGAATCTCACTTAGGAAAATTCTCCTCAACGCCGTGCCCTAATTTCCATCTATGCTCTCACCGTCTGCAATCAAATACCCCGCCTTCTTGGGGATGCTTGAAGAAACTTTACATTCGGATAAACTGGTGCAAAGGTTACAATGTGAGGCAAGAGGGCTATTTTCTCACAGTTCCCTAGAACGCAGGATTCAGCGAAAATCATTTTAAGCTTCAGGGTGCCAGGAAGAAAAATAGAGAGAGAAAAGAGAATTCCAAAAGGAACAGAGCAAAGAGAATAAACTATTGATCTATTCGCCTCTGAGCAACTCGCCAAAAGCGCAGGTCTCTTCCAATTCCGGCTTTGTCAAGTGCCGTGAAAGAAAGAGTGAATGGGACCTCCATGTTTTTTTTTCTGTTGAAACCTCAACATGAGTTGGATTATGCCTCCTCTGTGCACTTCTGCCGAACACGTATGGTTTGACATGGGAATTCAAATTCCGGCCTGACCTTTATTGACCTTTTACCCTTTCTGAGGCCCAAGAAAATTATTGGCTCTGCTACTAACATTACTTACAACTTTTACGATTGCTGGAGGTCTGAGCATCTCAAGAAGACGGAAAGTCTATATATTGGGGGAGGCATTAAACGCTCCAACTCAGAACCTCTCTCAACAAAAATAATGAAAATCTGATAAATGGGGTGATACTGGGCGCAATTCGGCGACTGGGGGGGGGGCATTTGGGCATTTCGCTTCTCATCGATGTGTCGACCCATCTAGATAGCCTTTTCTTGAGTTGACACGTTTTACCATGGTGGCTAGACGAGTTCGCTCCAGTTTCACAAGAGTTCACAAGTTTCACTAGAGTAAGACTTGTAAACCGTATTACCCTATTTTCCGGGGTACAAGGCATTTCACAGAGTCGCACGCGATAACGCGCGCGGGTTCGGTGGACACAGCGGGAGTTTTCCTGTCTTTTTCCGCATAATTTATCTCTAGTTCTAGTTTCTAGGTTTTCAAACACTCCTAATATGGATGGAAACAAAAAACATATAAAAGTAAAGTGAGGAAGCAATATTCGCCACGTTTGAAACGAAAGTGCGTCCTATACATGTGTGCGTCTTATACTCCAGAAAATAGACTATATGAGTACATTATACTCTACACTTTTTGGTTTTTTCTTTTGACATTTTTTGAAGCCAATAAAAAAGTCCCAAATTTGAAAAAAAAATAAAAAAGAGCTATTAATGGCTCAATGATAGGATGAGACGACGCTTTATTGAGAAGTAGAATGAGTGCTGTCGTTTAGTGCTTACACAACTCAAACAGTTTCGCGGGGGGTGGGGGTGATCCGTTGGCAAACACTTGCCGATGCAGGCAAAGGCAGAGCAGAGTAGCGCGCACATTGTCGCAATGCACTGGTGTGACGACCGGAAGCGTGAATGAATGATGATTGCACGATCACTTACCCCTTTGTCGAAACGATGCATGACTTGTAACCGATTCGCTGGTGCCAATCCTTTACGGCCGTTTCTGTCCACACACAACCACCAACCTTCGGATATACCCTCGATTTCTGCAATCAGGGCAGACATCAGTGAGACATATCATTTCAGACCGAAAAAAAACTGGTAAACAGTAATCTTAGAGAGCAAGGAAAACCATTTGTTATCAATTACCAGTCATTATCAACAGTTATCACTCTTTTTCTATGGAACAAGAAAAGCGAAAAGGATCAGATGAAACTGCAGGACGCGGCAAATCAACGCGAAATGATTCCTCGACAACATCTGACCAACCGCGGAAGACGGATAAGACAATTGTAATCTGTCGCACTCGTGGCGCGCGGCGTGTCGTCCGGCGATTTCTCGACGCGCACCAATTTCTCGATTGGAGCAGAAAACTAATGTAAATTCAAGCGGAGACAAGACCTCATGATATGCGGAATCAAATTTTTCCCTCTCCTTCACACTCAGCTAATGATCAGGCAAGAAAACTCGTATCTGCAAGAAAACGCGTCACCGCCACGCCCACCAGTGTGTCATATTACGATTTTCTTGTCACATTCCTCCAAACGAGTGCTACGCAAAGTTGTCGCGCGCGATTATCAATCAATTTGGAGCGCGTCCTTCTTGACCTAATGGCTCTCGACGAGAAAATAAGTATTTACACAAGGTGCTAAAAAAGCTTCCGACCGTCCACTCAAGCAAGATATCTGGAAAAAAAAAACATGGATTGGATATCTCTCTTGCATAGCACTATATTGGCTCACCATTATCAGGATTTATTATATTTCATGAAACCCCAATGATGCTCAAAAGCGCAACACGTGCTACTGTTGCAACATCGGCATGAGGACCTAAATGATTCACGTAGAAGGGCAGCAATGTGGCAAATCACCTAGTTAGGAAATGCAGTCATGATCCCTGCAAACGACAGAGCGTGTAATGGGGCGTGGATTGGGGCGCTGCCAAAGAGATTCCCCTAATGACGCCATCTTGAGTCGCCAACAATTGGCGGGAACTGGGGAAAGGCAGTAGCGCGGAATTTCTATTCAGGAGGTAAAAAGGAAAAAAATCATAGAACAGTGTCGGTGATTTCACTGACTATCAACAAATATCAGCACTTATCAGTGGTCCGCGATAATTTTAGGGGATAAAATAGCGAAAAAGATAGAAGTGGGTGAGGAAGCCTAATCAGGTGTGATGTAAAACAGCAGTAACCAGGTATACTTCTTATCCCTGAGACGGGGTAGGCGTGGCTTTTGATCATGGCCTGAGACGAGTTTCTCGTGGGATATTTCAATTTGAAACAACTGCTATCTTGTTCTGTGTTAAATGTAGACATGATTACGACTGCTTCAAAATGACAATAT